CATCATATACTAAACGGTTAATGGTACTCACTATTTACATATATCGGACATGGTTTTTTTTTATTCATAGTGCAACGTCATGATATCGATAATGCAACTCGTCTATTCTCTACAATTACAAACAAATCCCATTATATCTATACAGCTATGTTCAAAGGTGAATATTCTTAATGATTTTTTTTCTTATTCAATATTTGTTATAAATAGGTCTAATGTCTAATAACATGCCAGACAAGGTGCTTGATTTATTAAATAAAATGACAATTGAACCTAACAATTTTACTCTTACTATTTTATTTAATGCATGTGGTGAACTTGCCAATGATCGAGCGATGAAGATAGGAAAAAAACTTCTTGATGAAATGCATGATAATTATCGAAATGATAATATCTTATTAACTTCAGCAATACATATGTTGATGAAATTTGGTGATGTTCAAAGTGCTGAACGTGTTTTTCATTCAATCAAAAATAAAGATATTATTACTTATAATGCTATGATCAAAGGTAATAGATGTTAGACAGCTTTATCAATATTGTCATATTTAACTTAGGATATATTGGAAATACAATGTCAGAAAAAGCTTTAGATTTATTTGAACAAATCCATTTAAAGTTAGATTGTGTAACTTATACTATTGTTTTTGATGCATGTGCTCAACTTGCAAATGATCGAGCACTGAAGATTGGAAGAAAACTTCTTCATGAAATGCCTAATAATTATAAAAATGATAATTTCGTATCAAATTCAGCAATACATATGTTAATGAAATTTGGTGATGTTCAAGGTGCTGAATGTGTTTTTCATTCAATCAAAAAGAAAGATATTATTACTTATGGTGCTATGATGAGAGGTAATATACATTAGATAGTTTTTTGAATATTGTCAAATGTAATTTAGGATATATTGGAAATGAAATGTCAGAAAGAGCCTTGGATTTATTTGAACAAATCCATTTAAAGTTAGATAGTGTAATTCACACTATAGTTTTTAATGCATGTAGCCAACTTGCAAATGATCGAGCGAAGAAGATTGGAAAAAAACTTCTTCATGAAATGCATGATAATTGTCGAAATGATAATGTTGTATTAACTTCAGCAATACATATGTTAATGAAATTTGGTGATATTCAAAGTGCTGAACGTGTTTTTCATTCAATTAAAGAGAAAAATATTATTACTTATGGTGCTATGATGAAAGGTAATATACATTAGATAGTTTTTTGAATATTGTCAAATTTAATTTAGGATATATTGAAAATGAAATGTCAGAAAAAACCTTAGATTTATTTGAACAAATTCATTTAAAGTTAGACACTGTAACCTATACTATAGTTTTTAACGCATGTAGTCAACTTGCCAATGATCGAGCAAAGAAGATTGGAAAAAAACTTTTTGATGAAATGCCTGATAATTATCGAAATGATAATGTTGTATTAACTTCAGCAACTCATATGTTAATGAAATTTGGTGAAGCTGAAAGTGCTGAACGTGTGGTTAAATTAATAAGAAACAAAGGTGCTATTACTTATGGGGCTCTTATGAATGGTTACAATATGAATGATGAACCATGGAAATGTTTTGAGGTTTGGGAAGAAATGAAACAACGAGATATTGTTCTAAATGAGATCATATGGAATATACTCATTGGTGCATGTTCAAAAATCGGTATGATTCGACAAAGTCAGTATATTATTCATCAAGTTCCTCCACATATTCAAAATCAAAAACAAATACAAAACTCAATAATTCATATGTGGGTAAATATTGATTTTTGATCTCCTTGGACTAGTTCATATTATTTACAATTTCTTTTTTTTTCTCACATAGGGCAAATGTGGTTCTATTGAAAAAGCACAAAATGTATATAAATCAGTTGATGATCGTGATACAGTGACATACACTGCAATGAGTAGCTTTATTTACTTTTATCCAAGTTCTTTGTTTTTTTTAATATTGGATAGTTGTTTTTTGAAGTTAATGGATTTGGACTTAATGGAATGGGTTCGGAAGCTATTAAATTATATAGAGAGATGCCGAATAATCTACGTAATGAAGTTACACATATTTGTGTTTTAAATGCATGTTCTCATTCGGGTTTTCTTCGTGAAGCTCAGAATATATACAATGAAATACCTTTCAAAACAGAAAAAATTGTTGCTGTTATGGTTTGTCTTTCTGTTTTATTTATTATATTAGCTATGATTATTTTATATTATACTTAAGACTGATTGTTTAAGTCGTTTGTTTTTATTTGATGAAGCACAAAAGTTGATAGATGAATATGAAAAGAAAAACTCACCTAGTTTTGTGATGTATAGTAAGTATTTTTCATAATACTACATTAATATTTTATTTATTTATTTGTTTTTGTTTTAGTGTGTTTACTATCTGGTGCACGTAATAATCGCAATAATAATTTATCTGAAAAGATATATAATCGAATGAAATCTTTGTTTCCTGATGCAAAACAAGGTCTTGTATCAGGTGCAACTCTTCTTGCGAACATATATTCTTCTGTTGGTGAATATCAACTGGCAAAGAACTTTCGATATAATCAAATAAAAGAATTAAGAACTAAAGTCAAAATGGGATTATCATGGACTTATGTAAATAGTGAAATAGTGGTAAAATATTTCTATTGAACATTAGAATATAAAGAAAATTTGTTGATTTTCTAGCAATTCAAAGCTCATGATCATTCACATCCACGATCATCAGAAATCTATGCTGAACTTGATCGTTTAACAGTTGAATTAATTGAACATGGTTATAAATTTGATTCTTCTTGGATAACTCGTCAATTACGTGAAGAAGAAACTATCGAATCAGTGTTGTGTGGTCATAGTGAAAAATTAGCAATAGCGTATAATTTGATTCAACGACCACTTCCAGATTTTATCCAAGTTACTAAAAATCTTCGAGTCTGCGGTGATTGTCGTAAGTTAGCTTTTTTCATCTCAATGATTCTTAACAATATATGTATTCTTTTTTTTTTTATTTCAGATGAAGCTACGAAACTTATAGCTAAAATTCGTCAAATTGATATTATTGTTCGTGATGCCAATAGAATCCATCATTTTCACAAAAACGGACAATGCTCATGCCAAAATCATTTTTAATTTTTTGTTATGAATTTATTCAATAAAGAACTATTTCTCTACAAAATTGTTTTTCAAATACTCAGGTAGAAAAAACTTACGAAAATTTTATAAGGTCTGAAAAGATCTGACTGATCATCTTATGTCGTGAGATTAATATTGTATGATCTTACGAAATCATACAAATATTTTACTACAAGATTTAATATTTAACTGACGACTATAAGATGCTACTGTGAATCTTGTAAGATCTTATATGATCGCATAAAGTCATAATTTTCGATCTCACTTATACAATTAGTTTTCATAGCGATAGTTTTGAACATTTAAATAAGTATTTAATCGATTAAATATATTCTAATTTAGACACTACTTTTTTAGCATTGAAAATACATCTATGTGGTGGTACTGATCTGCTAAAAAATCAGTCTACAAATAATTAAATAAATTGGATTAAATAGAAGCATATTTTCTTTTGTTGAAATTGTTTATTTTTTCCATTTTAGATCATTTTAACAATTGAATTTAGAAAAAAATAATTGTAATTTTTTTAAAATGTTTTTCTAAATGGATATTTGTGTTTTCATTTAGCTTTTGTGATTTTTCTAAATAAATATACAAATACAAATAAATATAAAAGATTTTTTGAAGAAAAGAAAACGATAAAAGCCGAGAATAGAAGAAAATCAGATAAACAACATTATGGAGAATCATACATGAATTGTATAAGATCTGACGTTAAGATCATACAAGAATCGTATAGTATGATTTCATCGGAAAAGAAAGCTTTAAGATTGCATATAAAATCCTACAAGATCATATACGATTTTCATATGATCTTGTGGACGTGGGTGTGGGATGTGGGTGTGGATGGTGGGTGTGGGTGGGTTAGTATTATTGTGGATCTGGACGTGTGGGTGTGAGTGTAGGTGTAGGTATTTTCTCTTTCCACTGACACTCACATCCATATCCACACCCATTCGCCTCGACACCCACATCCACACTCTCCTGCGGATTCCTATGAGTTTAAATATGTTGATGTGTTGTCCTCATGCTTCTCTGTATCGCTTGAAACGTTTCACTGAGATGCTGATAAATGGCTGGATGATTTCGACTCCTGTACCGTTACTATTATTCATGTTTGTGAGAGCACGATTTTTGTTTTCCGTAACTCTCAGCTATTTGCATACTACTTGGACCTTTCAATTCCATTCATACATATTTCTCTATTATCCGAAGCTTTATGGGCTCATTTCGATGGATCGCTCTGTGGCCCTAAGGTTTTCATCATCGACTTGACAAGTTGGCGGAAGGGTTGAAATTTAGCACATTGACTTCGAAGCACAACTATGTGGCTCCAAGTTTTTCGAGCTGAGTTTGGCTGATAGCCATTTGAGACGCGATAGTTTCATTAAAAGTTTGACGCATTGCTCTGTGTGTGAAAGTGATTGGCTCTTGATGTTTCACGCTACTGTCAGTGGCGAAGGTTGTCCCTCTAACTTTGTTACATCACTAAATGAATCAAAGCTTTCTGCTCTCATTGTTACAGATTTTACTATGGTTGGAAGTTTCTCGTCTTCATAGTCACGTATCAATCTCTGACAGACTGGTTCTGCCCTTCATCTGTGGAGATTGGTTTGCGACTAGAAGCTTTTCCACTGTTACTCTTATCCACACCCAAAGTTTACAATTGTGTTCGTGGCCTTTTTATGTATACTCTCATTAAATTCGCAGTTACATTATACAGATTTTCATTTCTTATCTCTTTGATAACTGAAATTACTGAATTGAGTAGGAGAAAGAAAAGAGACAAACAAGCCATGTGACATATAGATAACATCATAGAATTGAGATGAATCAAAAGATCAAACAAGTGTGAGACCGCTACGAAAAAAGAATGAATAATATCGGTAAGCGACATACATTGACAAATCTATTGATTTAAATAAAGTCTATCATGGATGTCAATGTTATATCTATCTTAATCATTTCCGATATCCACAGCGTCTTGGGACTAAGTGTATAACGTTGAAAATAGTTTCTTGCATTTTGAGTCTACTTAATACGTTACTCACTGAGATTAAATTATTAAACTCACGTTGTTCTTCGTAATGTGAATGATGTGTTGCAGTTGATGAATATTTTTGCTTCTTAAACTGTTGGCTTGTTTTTTTTCCGAATGATTCGTATCTTAATTTTGCAACGTATCAAATCTTTATCTTCCGTTGCTATCTGTGTTTGCCTTCTTTTTTTTTGTTTTTTTAAAATTATTATCAAGTGGACATCATATGAAAAGGACGGCATATAGCAGCAATAAAACATTCACCGAAAGAGCAGACGACAAATGACGACAAAGAAGCGAAAAAACTCATACTTGTTCAATGATATTCATTCCATATGGAGTACACGGATTAATATTTGTTTTGGTATGATCTGAGATGATTAGGATCGTTCAACATTATGCGATGACTAGCAAGGAGACATTTCATTGCACATCTATTCGATTAATGATAGTTAACAGAGTACGACTGTTATAAAAATGTTCTTGCATCTTATTTCATGTTGAAATAAATAACACTTATATTATCATGAACATGAAACAATTTGTCTTTCAAATGATTCAAAGACTGATAATTTTCAGTATAATTCATTGTTCAATTTTAATAGATATTTTAGAAGATTCAACACTTCATTTTATTTCTTAACAAAGAAAAAAAGAAAGAGAAAAACATTTAGCTTGTTCATTTGAATTTGAACTTCAAAAATATTTACATTCTAAAAGAAATATGTAGAAAAAAATCAGTTTAGTTTTTATCTAATTCTTATGAAATAACCAGCCTTTTAAGATAGTCTCATATAGATCGACTACGGAAGAATCCTAAAGATTTATGACACACGTAACAATGTAGACATATCTTGAATTTTCTTTTGACAATATCTCATAATCAAACGACGCTGTTATAGATGAAATCAAAATTGAAAAAAACCATCAACGATTTTCTCATAAGTCAAACGAACACGCACAGATATATTGAATAGAAAAGGATGTGAGTGTGGGTATACTCTTCTCTTCAAGGACACCCACACCCACTTGACGTATTTTGTATTAGTATAATGAGGCTAAAGAACAAATGTGAGTTTCACAATTTTAGGGTCAGAGCAGCTATGCTTACAATTGTTTTTTTGACATAACTTTCAACAAAATTTTGAAGTTTCATATGTGTTGAAGAGCTTTTTTAAATAGGAAAATCAATTGAATGTGAATATGACGTTGAAATAATTGAACATTATACTACATGAGCAGAAAGTTATTTTCTTGAGTAGTAATACAAACATTGTTAGATTTGCTTTACAATAGATTATATTTTTGTTTGTTGTTTATAAAATGTGTGTTTATTCATTTCTATTTTTGATATATTTATTTTATAAGAAAGAAGCAGTATATTTGAATAAGCAGACATTTTCTGAAAGTTTCCTTTTTATACTCGACATCTAGGAGGGAGAAGGGTCGACGAAACTAAACAGATGGCAGGTATTTAAAAATGTGATTTTTACTTGAACATCCTTTATACATGGCACCCTTCATCAAAAAGCTATTGAATCGAAATTTTGATCATCAATCAACATACCTCGATGGTTTTGTTTGTACTTATCAAAATTGATTTACCAATAATCTATAACTTTAAACCGATATGACATATTAACTGATTTCGTCATTAGTATTATGAATATTGTGAATATCATTTCGAGCAAATCTTGATGTGTAACAATGAATAAAGATCAATCAGATTCTTACGTTAGTCTTTTTTAATAATATTATTTTTTTTCAAAGAAAAATAAAAACAACAACAAAAGAAAATATTTATATATATATATATGTGTTTATGCATTTGACATACAGAAATACAAAAAGCGTGTTTAAAATAGGTAATAGCAATACAATAGAAAAATAAAATAAAATAAAATAAAAGCATCGAATGAGATTTTTACAAAGAATCATTTCATTATCTCTATATTGAGATTGTTGAACTAGTTGGATAATCATATTCTTTTGCTATTTGTACATAGCATCATTCTAATCTGATGGAATATCTAAAAATAAAAATAAAATATCTAATGTTTGATAAATCTAGAAGAAAAGTTTTATTCATTTTGAAGACTCGTTATAATTACATTCCTTCGATTAAATATCGTTTTTTTTTGCATTTCACAGTTATCTTATTACGAGTAAAACAAGATATTTTTTGAAGATCTATATAAATATAATAATTCTGAATTTTTTCTGTAGATTATTCTAGACAAGAAATTTATATGATCATCTAAAGTTTAAATAATCGATATAGTATTTATATCTTAGGTGTTTTTTTACCGTCTATACATGATTATACTTATCTCCTGCAAATCAATGTTTGAATCGAGTGAGATTAGTTGATTCATTTATATGAACTTAATGAAATGCTATTTACAAGAAAACTTTTTAACTCCTATTCCTTAATATTTATCAATAATTTACGAAAATATTTACCCCTACTTTTTTCAACAAAAAAATAGTACGAGTGGCGCAGAATAAATTATACTGTTGGTATTTTTTTTTATATCTCTTCTCTATTATTCATTTAATTGAAACACTTTTTTTTTAAATCAAAACATGACGCTTGAAATTCTACACAAAATGACATATTTTATTTAACGAATATAGTTTCAAAATGTAATCGTATAGTGAAATCAAGTACAGAATGTAAAATTTTTCTGATGGAACGTTTTATTTCGTCTATCAATGTTGCTTTTGCTGTTATGAGGTTGCAATTCATACTTCATTTCATAAAGTATAACCTAACTCACTGAAATCAGGCAGATTCAATAACTAATTATTCTTCAATACGAATGCACAAAAGTGGCTTGTACACCATTTTCCACTAAGGATAGTCACAGTTGACTCTTTGACTTCCTGTTATGATAAATAGTCAAAGATCTTCAAGCGATAACAGTCGTACGGACTTTGTTTCAATAGGCAGTGTTCTTTTTGACACTCGTTTGTTGAATAGTAGACGTCATTTCACCTCTCAGATATTTATTTTTGTATGAACTGTGCATAGACAGTCAGAAGGAGATGATAACATAATAGAGCCAATGATTTTAATCATGCTTATCCATAATGAAGGACTATCTTTTGATAAAAAGAAGATATTTCGATCAAGTGAAGAACGTATATAAATAGTATAATTTATTTTGCGCCACTCATTAAATCTTTTTCAGCTGATTGATTTCTGAGTAGTTTGATGAATTACAACAAAAAGAAAATAGTTTTTATTTACCGTTTTGTAAACTTAATAGGGATTAAATGGTTGTTGTTGAGGTGGATATGGCATATGAGATTGTTGTGCATATGGATTAAAATTTGCTGATTGATTTTGTGGTGGAATGCCATATGGATTTTCATTATGTGCTGGTGGTGGACGATAAAAAGGTGGTGGTTCATAGTCTTGATGCATGGGTGGGTCTGTTGGTACCATTACAACATCTTCTACAAAAAATTAAAAAATAAACAAATGACAAAAAAAAATAGCAAAATCTAATCGATATACTTTGTCGACGTCGACGACAACGAATCCAAAGTAGTGTAACAATAATAAATATTATTATTACTATAACAATCCATCCAAAATGTGAAGCTTTAGTAAAATAACTACTAAAAAGAATAGAACAATATTTAAAAAAAGAAAGAAAAAGAGTTTTTTTTTTTCAAAAATAAACCTTCGTCTCTCAGGTATACAACAAAATTGTTTTCCATATTCACCACAACAATGTTTTGCTTCAGGTGGAAATCCATACAATGGACAACGAAATTGTCCAAAAACGGTACCATTCATATCTTCATTATTTACACAAGTTGCTCCAGCTAAAAACCAGATAAATATTATCCTTGAAAAAAATAAAACTCAATGACTTACTTCCATAACCTGGACCATAATAACCAGCAGGTCGAGAATGATATGAACCTGACATTGATCTCATCAATGAATATGCTGCTATACCACCAGCAGCTCCAGCAGCAAAACTAACAGCTTTACTTTTAAAACCACTACCCGAACGACTATAAATCAAGAAAGTATAGAAAACCAAGAACAAAAACAAAAAACCAATCAAACTACTTACGGTTGATTCATAGGAGATCTATAACTATTTCCTCGACTATAACTTGATGCTCCACCAAATGTTCCTGATCCTTTAGAACCAACTTTAAAACCACCACCACCACTTCTTCCACCTCCAAATCCTTTGCCTTCAGTCAACGATAACATTAACACTAGAAGAAAAAATATTCTTATTAATTATGAAAAACAAAAAAAAAAATCAATTTTGCTTTTAACTTACATGAAATAGTAAATAAGAAATAAAATCGTCTTGATAGATAATTATGTATCATAATTTGTCTTTTTTTTTATTAAATAAAAAAAACAAACAAAAATCTACAAATATAAATATTTATTGAAAAACATCTTTCACACGAAGGAAAAAAAACAAAAAATCAAGCAATATCAATATTTTTTGTTATAAAACATCCTACTACTTCAGAAAATGTTGGAAGAACTAGAAAATAAGAAAATATTGATTTGTTTTTTTTTTTTTCATTATTCAAAATCTTACATACAATCTGAAGAAATATAATTAACTAATCGTTTGGGAATTGGCAGTTATTCCTTATTGGTTTGATTGTGTACACCTATCAATAATAGAGTTTATTTTTCATTGAATACTCAAAAAAAAAAACGTAGAACGGAGAATCAACAATCAACTCAAGCCTTATGTTTGTTTTCTAGAACTCATTCATTGTAAAACTATGTCATCGGCTACAAACTTAATCTGTAAATCTAAGACTAATATAGAAGCTTTTTTTTTTATTAGTTTTCTCCATCTAACTCACCATCACTATATAATTGAGTTTGAAAAGGATGATTTAAATAGGATTTTACACTTGGCGATTCTATATTATGAAATAATATTAATAATTTTGAGAAAAAAAGAAAAATATATCTTAACCTTTTCGTCTTAAAGAACGTCGAATATAAACAATACAATAGAAAATAAATAAAATGAAAATACTACATGCTGAGATAATACCAATAATAGCACCAATTGCTCGACCACCGCTAAAAGAAAAAATAATAGAGACATAAGTTAATTTCCTTTCAACAAGTAAAACAAAGTCTTGTTCTCAAACACGTTTTTATTTATCTTAATTGACAACTAATTTTCTCATTTACATAAGAAAAAATTATTTTTAACAAAAGAAAACATGATTCAACCTATTAACTTGACATTAATTATTAAACATTTGTTTCTATACTCTAATCTGCAAGGTCTATTTAATTAGCTAAAAGCTACATGTATATATATATATATTTACAAAAAGCATAGACATCCAGTGAGCATCAATCGATTGACGCAAAACAGAAAAAAGAGAAACATTAGCAGTCGAGAAACAAGCAGAAAGAAAAAGAATTTTTGTCCTTTATATAAGATCTATTTGCCGTAGTTGAGCGAGACACATATTCAAACTGCTCGTAAACTGCTACGAACGATGTGATGACGGAAGAAAGAAATACAGAAGGAAAGAGAATAAATGCTGCAAGACGAGCAGAGACTAGGTCATCCTCGAAAAAAATTCTAACAAAAAAAAAAAAAAAAGAAGAAAAGAAAAACATAGAAAAGAGAAAAGTACCTTTCCCAGAAGGAACAACAATATTGCTGTTGAAATGGACCGCAACAATAACGGTTATTAAGTGCAAAAATAGGTGATAATGGACAACGAAATTCATTAAAGATAAAATTAGAAAAATTTTCTCTATTTACACATACACTTCCTGTACCATCTAGAATATAAAAAAAAAAGTAAGTATGACAAAAATAAAGATTATAAAAAGTTAACAAACTAATCAGAATACGACTTGATTCAATAGATCCTTTGTAATTGTTCGAAACATATGATCGTAATGCTAATGTACCAAATAATAAAGATGTACCACCTCCTGTTGCTCCACGAATCAAAATATGAGTATTTGATTTCTGTAAAAATGACGATTGTCTATATGAAAAAAAAACAAACATTTTAAAAAGTAAATCATGTACATAGATGGCGGAATTATGAGACTTGAGAAAGCTGAAATCTATCCTAGATTCAGATATCATAGGCTAAAATAGACTCAGATATTTGTTTCTCATTTCATTAGACTGATGGATTATGCAGTGGATCGAAATTCTTCTACACAAATGTCAATATTTCCTACCACCAACAGTAACACTTTCATAGTAAAACAGACGAATTGAAGTAATATTCCTTCGTTACAAGTGAAAAAGAACTCTACTAGAAACTTGAATTAGATAATCTAATTATAATCTATGGAAAATTTTCTTTGTCTTCAATGACTAAGTTTATATGTCTAAGAAACATTTTCAATAAAATATTTCGAACCTACAATGTTGTTTCTTTTTTAATTGTGAACACTATTACTTCACTATAAATTCTATTTTTTTTTTTTTTGGTAAAATAAGTCGAAATTAAATACAGATGAATGTTAGTGTGGTTCTTTAAGTGCAAACGTTTTTTGGCACAACTTGCAAATTGTTGCTAAACTATATTAGTGCAAGATATGAATTGGAAATAAGAAGCATTAACTGTCTTTCATCTAAATAGCATGAATGAATTGTTTTCTTCCGTTCTTTCTATTCTTAACATTCCTGATAGAGATCTTTATCAGGATTGTTGAGTCTACTCTAGATTCAAAACGTTCCGTCATCTATGTTCATGACCCATAAGATATTTCAGTATTAGAAAACAAAAAATAAAACAACAAAATCCATAAAATCTTATTACCGATGAATACTCTTTGAATGAATTTTATTTTTGATTAAATTTCTAGATGTAAATAAAGAAAACAAAAATATTAATGACTTTTCTCATCGTACCCTTTTTAAATACTTACGAGACTCGAACACGAGTAATTTTACTACGACCACCACCTGGTCGACAATCAACATTTGTTATTGCAACTAGAAAAATATTCTAACAAATATTTATATTCATACAGACAAGATTTTCTTTTACCACAAATAAACAATATGATCAAGTTCGTTCGTACCATTTCGGATGGTAAGAAAATCATGGTAATTAAAAATCAAAATGTTTTTTCTACCTAATATATATACATGGTAGACATGTATATATTCGACACGCTTATTGATTGTCATCAATCAAAATATTTTCTAGGGTGACAAAAAAAGCAATTCGTATTTGTTCTTTATAACATAACATTGTGGCTATAGAAAAAAACAAGCAATATAGTAATAAATAAAATACAAAATTTATATTGAAAATTTTTTCAAGAAGATTTCTTTATATAAATATATATATAATAGATGAACAAGATCATTGTAGATTATAAATAGCTTCTCAGTTTTGCAAAAAATAAAATATCATTCTTAGATATCGATTCATTCTTGATGAGAAATTCAAATAATAATGGATTATTTCGATATTATCTAAGTAATTTAATTTCTAAAAATAATGTATTAAACTATAGTGATTCAATGAATGACGTAGATTCATTTAAGAAGAAGAAGATAAGAAAACATTGTTGATCACCATAAATATTGACATATCATTATTTTTATGTTAATTTGTCTTATCAAATATTAGCAGATCTGTTATAGCAATTATTTTCTTGTCGACTATTTATAATTTTGAGAAAGTTAAACATAATAACACAAGTTAAACTAATATCACATTCAAATTTCAATTTTATGTTTCTGCAAAAAAAATAATTTTGGACAACATAGATATCATTCATTTATTATTAGGTGGCGCATGCAATACATCTAATTTCAGTTCTAAAGACGCGGTGAATTTTGCTGATGTTTAGTTATTATTCCTTGTCTGAACAATTGCATATTATAACATAGTTATAAAGATGTAGATCAAAAATGAACAACTAATTTATGCTGATCTTCTTATTTTATTCATTATTATCGAATGAATAGTAGTTTATATTGATCAAGCAATCACAATAGATAAAATCATAGATTTATGCCATCTAGTTCAAGCAAAGATGCTAACGTCATCTATACAAAATTTAGTTTAAAAATCGAATTTTTCAAGAAAAGTTGAATATATACAAATGAAATTTCAATTAAGTTAAAAAAAATAATAATAAAATTATGTCTATAGTGCTTGTTATCCATTGGTTTAATTTAGTCGCTATTCAAATATATTTATTAATATTAATAAAAAGTAATAAAATTGATCATTTCGAATGAAAATTGCTACAATTGAACGGATAACTTCTGTTCGACATCATCCAAATGCTGATCGTCTTGATCTTGTTTCCATTCTTGGTTATCAATGTATAACATCTCGTGATAGTTTTTTACCTGAACAATTAGTCATTTTTATTCAACCTGATTCTGTTTTACCGAATGATCAATCATGGGCACAGCCTTATTTAAAATATGCACGTCCACGTGTTCGAGCTATTAAAATTCGTGATGAATGGTCCGAAGGTTTAATTGTTCCATTAACTGATAATGAAAAAAATCTTAAAGAAGGTGATAATGTAGCTGAACAATTAGGTATTAAACATTTTGAACCAATTATTATACAAGATCCAACAAGTATTCTTGGTCCATTACCATTTAATATACCAAAAACAGATGAAGATCGTATAGAAAATTTTCAAAATAATCTTCCATGGAATGAATTAGTTGATGTAACAAAAAAAATTGATGGTACATCTTGTTCAATTTATTATTCTTATGAAAAAAAACAATTTGGTGTATGTGGAAGAAATTGTGAATATGATTTAA